GGGCGGATCACTTGAGGTCGGGAGTTCGAGACCAGCCTGACCAACATGGAGAAATCTCCTCTCTACTAAAAATACAAAATTAGCTGGGCATGGTGGCGCATGCCTGTAATCCCAGCTACTCGGGAGGCTGAGGCAGGAGAATCACGTGAACCCGGGAGGCGGAGGTTACAGTGAGCCAAGATCATACCATTGCACTCTACCGTGGGCAACAAGAGCAAAACTCCATCTCAAAAAAAAAATTAAATTAAATTTAAAAAAATTCATCTATGCTGTTTACAGTTCAATATTATGAGCACATAATTTATCTAAACCCTTTATTGAATATTTTTATTATTTCCATCTTTCATTTTTATCATCAATATTCTTTAGTTCTTTAGTTATGCTTTTTTGGAGACAAGGTCCCCTTCTGTTGCCCAGGTTGGAGTTCAGTGGCACAATCATAGCTTACTACAGCCTTGAACTCCCGGGCTCAAGCAATCGTCTCACCTCAGCCTCCCCAGTAGCTAGGACTCCAGGCTCACACCACCACACCTGGCTAATTTGTTTTTCCTTACTTTTTGTAGAGACAGGATCTTGCTATGTTGCCCAGACTGGTTTGAACCCCTAGATTCAAGCAATCCTCCTGTCTCAGATTCCCAAAGTGCTGAGATTACAGGTGTGAGCCACTGTTCCTGGCCTCTCTTTGGTTCCTGATTACAGCAGATTATCAGTTTGACTTGCCCAAGAAAGCCAAACTTCTGACTCTTTGAGTGGAATTTCTAATTTTCTTCCCAATTCAGGCTCATGCTCTGGCCCTATCTGGGCCCTAATTGCTTATTTATAAAAATTAACTAAAAATAATTCCTGTTGTATAGGATGTGCTGAAATTCTCTACTTGCTTTGAAGATGAGTAACTTAGCAAACTTGCAACACTCCTGTGAAAACTTACTGAGTTCTTCTTCAATTTTCTTCCAATTTTCAGCTTCCTGTGAGTTGGGATATGTCACCAGTAATCCGGCCAGGGCTTCCTTTACTTTTTGAATTTTTGGAGAATTCTGTTCCAATTCAGCCAGGAAGGCCTAGGAGAAAGAATGCCATGCATGCCCTGAGATTCTGGACAGGAAACGAAGCTGTGTGTGTGGTAGAAATGATTGGAAAACTGGGCGGTTATTATAGGTTCTACTAGGACCCTATCAATGACTTGTTTAGTGATGTTAAGATACTTAACCCTTCTATTTCAATTTTTATTTTAAACTGAAAATCTAAATGGCAGGATCTGTGTTTCTTTTATGTATAACACATCAGTAGAACTCAATAGTTCTACTATTGAGAATTATAGTAGAAGGAATTATTAATCCCAATAAATGAAAAATACCAAGATATGATGATAACACATCTTGAAGGAGATGAGATGCTATGCTCAATGGGAATATTAAAAGTTTTGGTGAAAATTTCCTACAGGATTTTCTACGGTCTTATATCTTCTGACATTTTTCCTAGTCTCACATGTGAATCTTAAGAATGAACTGTAATCAGTTATTTAGATCCTTCCAAGAACTGGAAAGGTACTTTGATAAGAATGGTTTGTTTGGCTTACAGCATCATATAGAAAATGAGATCCCATTCTCAATGAGCTAATGATTCTGGGGAGGGCTATTCTTCTTCTGCAAACATATCTGGTTTTGTTTCTGAATCTAACTTATAACAATTTCTAATTTCATAAGAAAATTCTCTAAGAGAGTTAAGGCATATTAATCATTTAGAAAGTCAAACACACTGCCCATCACAGCCTGGATTGTTGCCCATGTCTCTCTCTCAGATGCCTGGGCTTGGGCAGGAACACTGGTACAGCTGTCTCTTCCTCTTGGTGTTGGGAGGCAACTAATGTAAACACAATACCTTGTTAGATTCAGCTTGGGCTTTCACTGTTTCTGTCTTGGTTGGAGATGACATGGCATCCATGGATTTCAGGACTTCCTCTTTTGATTCTAGCCACTGCAGCACAGAGTTTGCCTCCTTCTGAACCTCCTCCATTCTGTTGAGGATAGCCTGAAGGCTTTCCTGGCGTTCATGAAGTATTCCACCCAGTTTCTCATACTTCAAGTTTACATCTGACATGTCACACTGGATCTCCGTCAGATCTAGTATCATAGAAACAGAAATCAGATTGGAGACAGCTCTTCAAGTATGTTCCTTGACTCCTCACTCCTAAATTACTTGCATCCCTCTTACTCCTTCTAATGAACTAGAGATTATCTTCCTGCTAAATCATACAAAAGTTCCTGTTTATAAACACAAAACAAAAGGGTTCTCATTAATCTGCATTCTGGTTTTGGCATTATATACTCAGATGTATACCTTAAAATGCTAAACATGGGAACAATAAAAGTGAAGGGAGCAAAGTAAGAAATTAACCTTAGTGTACTACTGGGATTAAGGTGCTTGGAGTATTCTTCCATTCCTTCTTCTCCAAACTACAGAGAAGTCACCTAGCTGGGAGGCTGAGAGCTAGACTAGATTACCTCTAGTATAACTTCTTTAAAATTCAAAGATTAACATATATTTTCTTTGAGTTCTTTCCCTATTTGCCTTATCTAGTGATCCAGTCTACTGTTTTTCTACAATACCTTTAGCTTCAGGGGCTGCCAACCTGTTTATGGTCTACAGCCAGAAAACCACAGTTGCTTCTCCCCAGATTTTTATCCTCACACCCATTCCGGCAGCAGTTCTTCCACACATATTGCAACATACACAGATGCAAACATGGACACTGTCCTAACACATCCAACAAAGAAGCACTGTTGAAATGGCATTCTCACCTTTGCAGGTGTGGTATCCGTTTACACTGCCTACAGAGCTTCCTACAGAGGGCAGTATGGAACCTGAGCAGAAGGACAGGGAGACAAACAGGGCAAGACCAACGTGTTAGGAATACATGTAGGCACTGAATTTGTCCTTTGGCCCTCACTTTAAGCTTAGGTATCAGGAAGTTAACACAGCACAAGACAACATAGTCATGGAAAGAGACAAATTATTTTAGCTGCCAGGCAACAAAATGTCACTCGAGGACCTTAGCAGGAATGATTCTTAATCCTTTCTAGAGGAAATTCATATTCCCTTCTTATTAAATCTCCAACTTGAATTCTTTGGATGCTGCCCTAATTTTGTAAAGCAAGTACTGGTAAAATTATTAAGTCTAGAATGGTACTTGCCATATTTTGGAATGAGCTTTTATAATAAAGCCAGAAAGTTTTACCTTTTATATCAATGTCTTTCAATATAATAAAAATGAAAATAAGTATCATTAAGGACATAAAAAGCAGCCTATTGTTTTTTCTTTTTCTTTTTTTTTTTTTTGAGACAGAGTCTCACTCTGTCGCCCAGACTGAAGTGCAGTGGCATGATCTCGGCTCACTGCAACTTCCACCTTCCGGGTTCAAGCAATTCTCCCATCTCAGCCTCCCAAATAGCTGGGATTACAGGCGCCTGCCACCAGGCCCGGCTAATTTTTGTATTTTTAGTAGAGACGGGGTTTTACCATGTTGGTTAGGCTGGTCTCAAACTCCTGACCTGAGGTGATCTGCCTGCCTTGACCTCCCAAAGTACTGGGATTATAGGCATGAGTCACCGTGCCTGCCCTAAAAAGCAGCCTTCTTCTAATAAAGACATTAAAATGAACCCTTCATATATTGTTTCTAAAGGAAGATTATTTGCCTTTTCTTTCATAACCTCTTCTTGCTCACCTTTCCCCAAGAAAAAACAGAAATCCTAAGTGCCAATAAATATGGCTCATCAACATTCCCATAAATTGTGCTTTGGGCCTTTGGTTCTGTTTCTAATCACCATAATTTCACATACATTCTCCCCAAACTGATTCCTTATATTTCAGAAAAGTTTCCCAAGATAGGTAAAAACCAGGTGATGTAATGATAAATATTATACAGAAATCTGAAAAATATTCATAATGATATTTTAAAACGACAGAAAACTCTTGTATGCACTGACTTCACTTTACAAAAAGTTATGTGCAAGGTTATATTACGAAATAGTTGGCCGGGCGCGGTGGCTCACCCCTGTAATCCGAGCACTTTGGGAGGCTGAGGTGGGTGAACTGCCTGAGCTCAGGATGTTCGAGACCGGCCTGGGCAACATGGTGAAATCCCATCTCTACTAAAATACAAAAAATTCGCCGGGTATGGAGGCGGACACCTGTAGTCCCAGCTACTGGGGAGGCTGAGGCAGGAGAATCGCTTGAACTCAGGATTTAGTGAGGTTGCAGTGAGCCAAGATGGTGCCACTGTACTCCAGTCTGGGTGACAGAGCGAGACTCCATCTCAAAACAAAAACAAAATAGTTGTGGGCCAGGTGTGATGGCCCACGCCTGTAATCCCAGCACTTTGGGAGGTTGGAAGTTTAAGACCAGCCTAGGCAACACAAGACCCTGTCTCTACAAAAAAATGTTAAAAAAAAAAAAAAAAAAAAATTAGGCATGACAGTGCACATTTGTGGTCCTAGCTACTTGGGAGCTTGAGGTGGAATGACTGCTTGGGCCTAGGAGGTGAAAGCTACAGTGAGCCATGATCACACTACTGTCCTCCAGCCTGGGTGACAGAGGAGACCCTGTCTCTAAAAACAAGGAAAAAAATTAGTTGAATTACGGTGGTGATTATAAAACTTTTAAATGTTAATGTTATTATATTTTCAATTAAAAATACAAAATAGAAAAATCACATTATCAATCGGCTACAGTGAGCCATGATCACACTACTGTCCTCCAGCCTGGGTGACAGAGGAGACCCTGTCTCTAAAAACAAGGAAAAAAATTAGTTGAATTACGGTGGTGATTATAAAACTTTTAAATGTTAATGTTATTATATTTTCAATTAAAAAATACAAAATAGAAAAATCACATTCCATTGCAGTGTGGTGATGGAAAAAAAGAAACTGGACTAGTAGGTAGCAGAAGAAGGTACTAACCAAGGTTGTCACTAACTCAGTATGTAAGCCTTAATCTACAAACACAGTTTCTTCTGCAGGATTTAAAGATAATACAACCTACTCTGTTAACTCTCATGGGGTAACTGGGAAAAGATCATGAACCAATGTATGTCAAAGTACTTTATGAAACAGAGCTACATAAATGTAAGGTACTGAAATATATATGGTTTTTCAGAGTTGGAGGAGAACTTTGAGAGCACTCAGGATAGTAATTTTCAAACTGATTTTCAAAGCACCCTAAAAAGGTGCTTTAGGGATTGTGGTTAAAGTTTGGTTTAAATGTAATATTCACAGACATTTCTAACTACTTAGAAATGATAATAAAACACGCATGTTCAATTATGCTGAATTCTACACCTTAACCCACCAGATAAAACCAATTATGCTGCTTTTCCGGGGAAAGTAAAACAGCTCCTGACACGTCTAAGCATCTATTTTAACTTATTTTTGAGTGTCCCTGATTGGAAAGGTGGTAGCTCTTCACCAGCAATTTATGATATTCAAACCTGTCCATGTTCACTCATGTATACTATACAAAGAAAAACATCTATAGCATATGTGTAATACATTAAATAACACGACCAAAAATATAACACAGCTTGCTCTCTGTACATCTACACAATTCTCACCGGGACAGAATTGTGTAATAATATAATTCCTAACACTTCAAGTCAGTTGGACAGTTTTTGTCCTCAATGTCAGTCTTAAGTGTTTTCTATGTGTAAGAGCCCTCATTAAATATTCTTAGTGATTTAACTTTGAAACAATAATTTCTTATTACATCACTTTCAAGTTTCTAGCTCAATTCAATCAAAGCCTGTTCTGATATTGTGAAGTCAACTTTTAAAAACATTTGTCATCATTTGCAAATACTTAATATGTGTGAACCATATTTTCTGGATACAATGAAACCAAACAAAATTTAGAAATAAATTAGATAGGCTGGGCCTGGTGGCTCATGACTGTAATCCCAGCACTTTGGGAGGCTGAGAAAGGCAGATCACAAGGTCAGGAGATTGAGACCATCCTGGCTAGCATGGTGAAACCCCGTCTCTACCAAAAATACAAAAAATTAGCCAGGCATGGTGGCGGGCGCTGGTAGTCCCAGTTGCTCGGGAGGCTGAGGCAGGAGAATGGCATGAACCCGGAAGGCGGAGCTTGAAGTGAGCAGAGATCGTGCCACTACACTCCAGCCTGGGCGACAGAGCGAGACTCCGTCTCAAAAAATAAACAAACAAACAAACAAACAAATAAATAAGATGGTGAAGCTGTCATCCAATAATCTTCCTTTTCAAATTTTTATATGCATTGAGGTAGTCTCAATATTCTTACTGATGGATTTCATTACAGATAAATGCTATAAAATAACGTATAAGGGAAACTTATGCCAACAAAATGTTATTTTTTTT